TGCGCGTGTGCGCGTGTGCGCGTGTGCGCGTGTGCGCGGGTGCGCGTGTGCGCGTGTGCGCGCGTGTGCGCGTGAGCGCGTGTGCGCGTGTGCGCGTGTGCGCGTGTGCGCGGGTGCGCAGGTGCGCGTGTGCGCGTGTGCGCGTGTGCGCGTGTGCGCGTGTGCGCGTGAGCGCGTGTGCGCGTGTGCGCGTGCGCGCGTGTGCGCGTGTGCGCGTGTGCGCGTGTGCGCGTGTGCGCGTGTGCGCGTGTGCGCGTGCGCGCGTGGGCGCGTGCGCGCGTGCGCGCGTGCGCGTGTGCGTGTGTGCGCGTGTGCGCGTGTGCGTGCGCGTGGGTGTGGGTGTGGGTGTGGGTGTGGGTGTGTGTGTGTGTGTGCGGAGTGGCAGAATACCCTGCCACCACAATTTCTCACGCAGGAGGCAACGGACACTCTGGGTCGCGTTGCCCAACGAAGACAGTGCAGAGTCGTCGTGAAGCAACACGGGACGCCGTGCTGTGTACCTGCGCCATATGACAGCGATTCTGAAAGTCTATTTGGCCCCCTTGGTTGCGGCGCTGTTTGTGCTTCTTGTTCTTTCTGGTAACGTTTTCGCCTCGAGAGGGAAACTGAGTGCTTCGCGAGCCGAAAATTATTGTACTCGAGACTCATCACTTATACTCGAGACTCATCAGTTGCACTCGAGACTCATCAGCAAGTGTGACTACCCCAGTCTTGGGGGACCCTCGGGTGTACCCATCGTGTGACCCCGGGCCGGTTCGCCGGAAAATTTGACCTCAACGTTCTTATCATAGTCCAGCGGAATTTCACGTTTAAGCAGGAACGAGGTTTCGCTAAAGGGAAGACAGCCACCAGATCATAGCGACGTCTCACGGGCTCCCGGGCGCCGCTTGCTGATCTTTTCATGCTTTGCCTTGTGTTGATTTGTACTTGGCATGATCTTGCGTTGTCATGGAATTGAAGCTTGTCGGTCCTAGTCTTTCTCAAGGTTGATTTGTGCCATCACCTGGGTTCGCTGAGTCGTCATGTCTCGACGAGATGATCGTGACAGATCTAGAACTCGGCGCAGACGGGATAGGAGCCCATCCTCCCAGCCTCGTAAAGCACGCAGACGTGATCACGATGACACCCTGGTCTCGGACGGCATGGATTGGAACAACCTGGTCTCCTGGCAACACAATTCGGGCTACAACGCATCCAGTGCCTTTCCAATGCCACAAGGCAACTACCAACAGAATCCCTCCTCTTCGCAACTCTTTCAGCATTCTCCGGTCAACTACATGATGCCGTTTCCTCCGGAACCCACACCGGCGAAGATCGTGAAGCCCATGATGCCACCACCTGCCCACGCACCGGTTCATGCCTCCCAAACTACGACATCGCCTGGATACCCGGCTACGCTGCCAGCGCAGCCTCAGAAAGCGTGGCTTACTCCACCAGACAAGTGGAAACCTGGTGACGGCATGTTCGACATCAACCAGCTCTACTCTTTTAGCCTGCCCATGACGGTTGCCAACACCCCACACAATAATCTACGAGATATGTCAGGCATATCCGGGATGTTCGCTTGGTTCAGGTCATTCACGGCGGCATCTCTAACTGGCTACTGAGACCATTTGCTCACGGGAGATTCGTGACGTAGGAAGGATTTCGCACCCGCACCGAGGCCCTGCTCTGGAGCACTTGTTCAAAGTTGCTGCGTCGATCGCAGCCGCTCAACCTGCTTACCCTGGAAAAGGACCTTGCCAATTCGCTCGGACTCAACATTGACGACTTCAATCAGCGCATCAAGGTTCACGATCACTTGGCCAATCTGGTACTTCAGTTTCTTCATCAACATCATTTGACTCTTACACCCTCTGCTCAAGAAGATGACATGCTCAAGAAGTACAACGATCTCCATCGAGCTCACGAGTTGCTCCAGGCGTCACAGCGAACGTCGCCTTCTTCTACGTTGCCCTCTCAGAAAGATGACGCAGAGCTGGTCACACCGCCGCCGGCCAATCATTCGCAGTCTTCGACGCCAACCAGCTCGCTGCCTACGGTAAGTGCGGCGGCCGTTTGATGGTCCATCTCAACAAAAGCCTCGGATCATACAATCTCTTCACGGGACTGTCGTCCCCGCCTTCCAAGCCATCCACACCTCAGTTGCTCACCATGCACAGCACGCCGGAAGACATCATCAAGCACTACACCTGGACCAGTGATCAACCGCGTTTATACCTCAAGCAGGCTCCCACTACTACTACTGTGCCATCGCTGGTCAAGTGGCCCAGCTCTTGCAGGCGCGTCAACGTTTGCCAAAAGGTGATGCACCTACGTTTGCGGCCATGGCCTCTTTGTGGGGCCTGGAACCCGGCTACACCACCAAGCTCTCGGACAAAGCGCTGTGCCTCCTCTACTCACCGGCTATTTTTTTGCTTTTCGAGTATTAGCCCGGAGTGGCGATTGCGCGGCAAAGTGATGAGCGGTTGAAAACTTGTCAGTGCTTAACTTGGGACTT